AAAAAGCATTTCTTGCCCGAAAAATTGCCCGTAATATACCCCATCGAAATACTGCAACCGGATCATTACCAACTAATCCTCGAACAAATGTACTTTTACTTTTTTTGATCATCATTAATACTTCTTGTCGCATTAAATCCTTATTTTTTATCACGAAAACCCTAAAAGTATGTGAAAAATCCTGGCATAATATAAAAGATAATTATTTGTAAATTTATTTATTTTAAATTATATTATTTACATTGTTTGATACTAAAAAAAAAAAAAAATCATTTCATCTTTACAAGCATAAATTTGAAATATTAATTATATGAATGGATGACAGATGACATTGCTAAAAGGAATGAATTCAAAAAGACAAATAAATAATATGCATTTGCATAATATTTATGTCATCTTTTCTATTTCTTTCTATTTTTTTTTTTTCTTTCTCCAAATTATTATTAACCTTAATTTGATATTTCACTTTTCCCGCATAATGCGCAACAATGAATGCTGATTCACGCTTCTGAGGTGTCTCATAATATTCATTATTTTTAAGGAAATGATTAAGCTTATCCAGCATTGATTCATCTGTTCCATTATTAATATTACTTTCCTCATCAATCAATCGTAATATACCATATGGTTTGCTCTACAAATAAAATAATACAATACAATAATAATATTTGCATATTAATTTTTTTTCAAATTTCATTCATTCATTCATATTTTCCGCTTAATGATGAAGAATACGATATTGATTTTTTAAATTTGAATTATTAGTTATTTAAAGCTATCTATTTCTTTCAATGTTTATCATATCATTCACATAAACCGGAATGATACCTTCAATATGATTTATCAAACAATTGTTTAATTATGTTGTTGATTAAATTGTTAAAGAAATTAATTTAATTATCATTATCGTAAGAAGTAGTCTTACGATCAGAAATTACGGATGACATTTTTTTTTTTTTTTGACATTTCTGTTTTTATAAACATTCTACAGCAAAGAAAAAACCAAAAAAATAAATGTATTTATAATTTTGTTAAAAAATTCTAATTAACTTCTCTAACAAAATAATCTACACTTCTAACATTTGATTGATATAATGATGAAGGATATGATATCGATTTTTTTTTTCTTCCAAATGATCCATAAATTGATTTTATAGTAATAAAATCTAATGTAAGCTGAGTTTTTTTATGTTTTGTACTGGGAAAAAAAAAAACAAAACAAAATAAAAATTAACCTGAAACAATTGAACACATTCGGTATTATCGGTGTATTCGATGTTTGTCCAAGTAATTCCTTCTTTTAAATATTCTTCCTGTCAAAATATATATGTGAAAAAATCTCGAATAAATTGTTAGCATTATTATCGTATCATTAATTTTCAAACAGTAACATACGGTGAAAGGAAATATCGATAAAAATATGGTATTCATATAAAATTAGAAAATAACTTTTCAAATTATAAAATAGTACGATGCATAATTTACGTGAATCTTGTATATATTGAACTTAATTGCAATTTAATTGCTCAATTTATTTCAATTTAAACTTTTGCTTATTACCTAAAAAGAACTTGTAAAATCTCTTCCCGAAATAATCAATACCTGCTCAAATTGGAAGATATGTTGATTGAAGTAAGCTTGCAAATGTTCATTTGCATAATTAATACAAAGTTGCTCAAATGAATTCCACTTTCCACCAACATCTTCAAATCCAAAAATATCCAGGATACCTGGAATAGTTATCACACGTTTTTTGTCTTTTTTTATTAACTCAATTTTTAATGGAACTGAATCTAACATAAATATTTGCATATTTCAAATTTATGATAAAAAATAAAATGAAAGGTAAGAATTTTTGCTTTCATAAATGAAATAATTGTATGATTAATTATGTTGTAAAATTTCATTGAAATTTCAAAAATTCTAAGAATTAGATATGAAGATTGATAAAAATGTACAAAATTTTAATATGAAGTTAAATCTAGAATGCGAGTTGAAATCAGAAAAGAAAAAATTCAGAGATTAATTTCTCAACCAAGAGTTCTATTAAAACAAGAAATCTTGTCATATTATGAAATTTGATTGAAACTTTTAAAAATTTGGTAAATCAGATTTGAAATCAAACAGAATCTAAAAATAAAATTTAAAAATTTAAATTTAAATTTTAGCTTAAATACCAATATAATATCCTTTCTTTGATGTAATTCGTTCTTTTTTCAGCAACGCTTGATTTATACGTAATACTATCCAATGAAATAAGGCATTGTATAGACATTTTGCCATCGCATCACGTGTATCTTTTGCCTTAATTTTATAATTTAACCTATTTGAAATAAAATTTATTAACTTACTGTATGAACTTTTGACCTCAATGACATTATGGCATTAAAATGAAAATGATTTTTAATTAATGATTTAGTATTATTAAATTATTAACTTATGAATTATTTTAACGTCTAAACATTACAGCATCCTATGTTTAACGGTTATTCGTGTAAATAGAAGGAATTATATGGACATAAATACAATATCGTAGTAGTAGTAGTATAATAAAGTACAGTAATCTTTAATAAGTACAGTAATTTTAATGCAGCACGGTACTGTAATTGTCAATTTGTTTTTGATAAGAGAGAATTTTAGGGTGAATTTTCTCATCTAACGAATATTTGAAATGAAATAAACATTTCATAATAAAAGGAATCATGAATTATTTTTGATGATAAAAATTTCCTTGTAAGACATATCAATGCCTTCTTCTTTATCAGTAGATTAATCATTGAATGATTATTTTCTATCAATGAATTATGAATCATCACTTTCACCTTAATCAATAGTTCTATTATCATAAATATATTTCCAAAAGAATTTCCTACTTCATTTATCACCGATAATTATTGATTAAACATTTCCGTTCAAAAAAATAGTCGTAAAATTCATAAAATACTAAACTTACTTCGCTAACATTATACTGTGAGATAACGACATCATTTTTCATCACTGTTCGACGCATTGTTAAAGCTTGTTGTAGATTAGATGCTTTTATATGTAATAATGTTGAAATGATACCTAATATTTCTTCATTACCAATTGAAACATTCTCATCACTATGATAACCACTTCTCTAAATGATTAATACTACATTAGCATTGATAATCAATTGTTAAAAAAAACTTTTCGGATTATAAAAATATAAAAAATACAATAATAGTGAAAAGAAATAGGAAAATAGAAAAATGAACACATTTCAAAGATTTTTTGATTAAATCACTCTGATACTTCAAAAATAGTTGATTGAATAAAACCATAATCATACCCTGACATTATACATTTTGTACATTTCCATGGATGTAGTAAAATCTTAATTGTACCTTGATATACTGTATATTTCCAAATAAAAAAAACTATAATCATACCCCGGGATACTGTATATTTCCACGAAGCAACGAAACCGTAATCATATCCTTATTGTATGTTTTCAAAAACTAATACCGTAATCATACCCTGACATTGTACATTTTGTACATTTCTCCATGAAAGTAATAAAATCTTAATTGTATCCTGATATACTGTATATTTCCAAATAAAAAAAAACTATAATCATACCCCGGGATACTGTATATTTCCACGAAGCAACGAAGCCGTAATCATATTCTTATCATGTGTTTTCAAGAACTAATACCGTAACCATACCCTGATGTACTGTGTATTTCCAAGAATTAATAAAACCGTAATCATAACCCAACATATTTTACATTTCCAAGAATTAATAAAACCGTAATCATACCCTGACATACTGTATATTTCCAAGAAGTAATACAGCTGAAATGACAGCAAACATATTTTGTTGGGATTGTTGTGAAAAGCCAACCGCATCCATAGCATATTTAAGTCTTTGATATTCGTAACATTCGTTTACTCCTTCAGCTGCATAAAAATTATTCTAAAAAAA